TCGGTCTGGTTGGAACTATCATTGGTGCTGCGGCTCAGAATATCAACATGCTCATCGTAAGTACAACATGGAGGCACGATCCATTCTCAGGGTGCTAACAGCTGTCAAGGTTACCAATTCCATCAATGGACTTGCCGCCGCTGGTCAACTTTCATTCCACATTATCTTGGGTGAGCTTGTTCCAAACTCGATGCGTGGTCCAGTCAATGCCTTCGTTCTGTCCACATCTGTTCCTTTCGCCGTCTTTGGGCCTCCGGTCGCCCGTGCGTTCTTTGAAAACACAGCTCTCCAATGGCGATGGTGCTATATTCTTGGTGTCATTGTGAATTCTTTGGCCATCATCCTATATTTCTTCTTCTACCACCCACCGACCTATGTGAGTTTTAATCAACATCCATTCCCACGACATTCAAGGCTAATAAAACCAAGGAAATGCTCCACGTTGGTGGTAAATCCAAACTCAAGCAGCTCAAGACACTCGATTGGATCGGCATCTTTCTCTTCACCACCGGTCTCGTTGTCTTCCTCATTGGAATGAACTGGGGAGGAGGCTCATATCCCTGGAAGTCGGGCCATGTTCTTGGCGCTCTCTTTGCTGGGTTCTTTACACTTGTCGGTTTCTGCTTCTGGGAAGCATATTGTGGATTGGAGTATCCTCTTATCCCAATGCGCCTTTTCAAGAACATTCCTTACAACGCCAATGTTGCCTGTGCTAGCTTCGCCGCCGTTGTGTATTACGCCAATACCGTCATCTGGCCTACTATGATAGGGGCCCTGTTCACTGACGATGTCACCGAGACTGGATGGCTCTCGGTAAGTTTCGGGTCACTGTCTTTCTCTCCAATAGAAATAGACTAACCGTTCTCCGCAGTGCGCCGTTGGCGGTGGTCTTCTCCTCGGTCAAATCCTCGGTGGAGCCGGTGTCCGTTATCTTCCAAAGATGAAGATCCAAATGACAGTCTCGTCTACAATCTGTGTAGCCTTTGTTGCCGCATGTGCCGCCTCCAACGCCAGCACCAAGAACCGAACGACGGCCTTGCTCCTGATTGGCACAGTCGGCGCAGGCTACGTAGAGAATCTCACCCTCAGCAGTACCGCATATCTCTGGGATCCTGCCGACATGGGTCTTGTCACTGGCGTCTTGGGGGCGATCCGTACCGCCATCTCGGCCATCGCAACGAGCATGTACTCGTCGATCCTGACTACTGAGTCTTCGAAGTACATTCTACAATACGTCACCCCTGCTGTTCTCGAAGCCGGCCTACCTGAGTCTTCCCTCTCGTCGCTGTTTGCCGGCATTACGGTTGGAAACTTCACATCTGTTGAAGGCATTACACCGGAGATCATCGCCATCGCGGGCGAACAAGTGAAACACGCATACTCGCTTGCGTTCCGGACCGTGTTCTTGTGCACGCTTCCATTTGGTGTGTTGTTGCTTATTGCGGCTGTTTTGTCGCCGAATGTTGAGGAGTATTTGACAGACGAGGTGGCGAGGAAGCTGCACGGGGATCAGGAAAAGAACGCAGAGGTCCGGAAGGAAGTTATTGATGATGCTTAAGTGATAATAGGTTTGATACCCAGGGGTAGATGTGCACAGGATAGATACGGAAGCTTTTTTGATTGCTAGACGGACCGGGAGGCGTAGTTCAAAACATGGCTTTTCGATATACATTCCTGTGGTCTGCATATCATATCGGAATGATCGAGCTTAGAAAATACGCAATGGAGGCGTATACAAAGCAATGAGCAATGTGCTCGTGATCCTCTTTCAATAAACGTCGATTTGATACATATGTGTTTTTTTCGAGCCTTGCACTGCCATCATCCATCACACAACACAATATCATGTACGTCAACAATGTTGATAATGTTCACAAGCCTACAATCACTATGTATTTCTGCATAGACTTGTTGCAATCGACCACAGCAAAAAGAGGACATCACAAGTCACAATTTCTGCACTCAGACCTCGTGTCCCCTCAGCAAGGCCAATAGGAACACACCGGAACATTCACATTACGAATCAACCCAACAAACCATATAGGAGAAAGAAACCGATCAAAAAGCGAGAGCACCGCAGACAAATGATGTTACCCTCTAAACACAAATGCCATAGGTCCTCTAGCTTACCGCCTCCATTTTCCCCATAACTATGGCTCAACCGTCCGATCCACCTGATGATCCGGCTACCTTTCCCTCTCCCAGTCCAAGGAATTTCCCCGCCACCGACACCGACGCCCGGAGTTCACCCAAGAAAGCAGAAAACACCCGTACCCGCACGCGTGCCAGCACCCAAGGGCACCTGACCGTCTCCGCATGACCAGCGCAATTCCTCCTTTGGCAACCGCGCATCCTGCCCATGGACACCTCTCTTCTCGGCAAGCCTTGCGCCTCTCATCTCAGTGTCTATGGGGAGGAGGGCAGAAGGCTACGCGATTTGCGCCTGGGGCTTGTGACGTCACGAGGATGGGCGTGAGCACGAGAAGGGCACACAAGGAGCCAGCTGGGCGCTGGGCTGGACTGGGCTGGACTGAGCTGGTGGGGAAGGGAAAAGGATGGAGATTGGATTGGCACATGTAGCTGGTGCTTGGGCTTGGGGTTAATTCTTTATTTGAGAGACGGCACAGCCACTTTCCGAGGCGGGATTGGTGTGGTTTGCGAGTTGCGAGGACAAGCCCAAGTGCGAACTGACGACAAGTTTCTTGACGACTTGACGGCTCGACAACCCTGACGACAACACAACTCGGCTTTCCTACGAACACAACACAACCCCCACCAATTCCAATTCCGACTGCAAATTTCCCCAGGAACCAGGAACTCATTAGACAATCCACTTTGCAAAGAGGAGGATCCCAGAATTCGTTGTTGCTGAACGAAAGACCGGGGCGGATATACGGCACGCTTCCTTCTCATTACGTTGTCGGTGTTGGGGAGGTGTCCTTTCTGGGGCTTTTGCGCACGAGACAACATTCGTGAAGCCGTCTGGTGTCGCATCGTCGTATTTGCATCGCGTGAGCAGGATACCGATCGAAAGAGATTTGGGAACACACACGCACATAGGGAAAACCCTTTGCGCGGGAACCAGGAGAGAAACAAAAAGAGAGAGAGAGCGAAAGAGATATTTCCACCCCAACTAGTCGTTTCCTCACTCCACATCTTGCATCCCTGTTCGGAATTCGCTACCTGGCCCTGGAACCCGCCCGACTCGACGCAGCAGAAGAAAAGAGAAAAACGCCAACGACAACGACAGCATCTGACAAGCCCGATTAAAAAGAAAAGAGAAGAGAAGAGAATAGAAGAGAAAATGTCGCATTTCCCCGGAGAATATCCAGGCAGAATGCATGCACAGCTGCCGAGGGATTACAATGATTCCATCCTGACCATCACCGAAAAGAGCTGTGCGGATCCGTATGTGATTTGTGACAAGGGGGTTTACTACATGGTGAGTTAACTACTTTCTACCTACTTTCTACATCCCGATACACAATGGAGAACCAGGAGAAGAATGTCCAGAAAGAGAAAGAGAAAGAGAAAGCGAAAGATGATGTCTCAGACAACAAGTCAAGAAGAAAATCCACACCACCATACCATACCATACCATACCCGCCACCCGCGCCCTTCCAACCTCCACCACGTATCCCAACTAACAATCCCCCCCCAGACCTTCACAGCCGACGGCAACCGCATTGAAATCTGGTCGTCGGACTCGCTCTTCGACCTCGAGCACCGCGCCACCAAGCACGTAATCTGGCGTCCACCCCCCGACACGGAATACACCAGCGACATCTGGGCCCCGGAACTGCACATCCTACACGGAAGATGGTACGTCTACTTCGCGGCGGACCACCCGCTCTTCGGCAACATGTCGCACCGCATGTTCGTGCTGCGCGGACCGGAATCGACGGCTTCGCCGCTCAAGGCAGAGGATTGGGACTTCGCGGGGCCCTTGGCGGGGATGCCCGAGGGCCAGTGGGCGATTGACGGGACGGTCATAACGCTGCACGGGGCCATGTTGTTCGTGTACTCGGGGTGGCCGCTGGGGCAGTCGCTCAGCGCCTCGATCCAGGAGCTGTTCATCATCGAGATGGCGGATCCGGTGACGTGCGTGGGGAAGCCGACGCGCATCTCGACGCCCGAGTACCAGTGGGAGTTTTCGGGCAAGTCGGGCATCAACGAGGGACCGCAGTTCCTGGCGTCTCCGGACGGGCGCTGGTGCGGCATTGCGTATTCTTGTGCTGGCAGCTGGACGAGCGAGTATAAGATGAATGTGCTGGAGTACAAGGGGGGGGATCCGTTGGCGGGGAACAGTTGGGAGAAGTGGAGACAGCCGTTGCTAAGGGCGAGTTCGGATGGCGAGGCGCCGTATGGGCCTGGTCATGGGAATTTCGTGCTCGTGGATGCCCCTGGGGGCCCCGAGGTGTGGGGGGTTTTCCATGCGACGGATGGGCGGACGGGGTGGGCGGGGCGCAGGGCGAGGGTCATGAGGGTGGGTTGGGGGGACGGGGGACCGTATATGGGGGATGGGGAGTGTGGGAGGTGTACGGGAGACGTGGATCATTTCTTGTATGGATGTAAAGGGGATGGGTGTGAGTGTGGGGGACCGAAGGTTAGGGGGAAGGGGAAGAACTTGAGTGCGGGGAAAGGCGGGGTGAAGGTCAAGAGGGCGGTTGGAGAGGTTTCGGGGTTTTTTAGGGGGGTGTTTGGGTAAGGAGGGGAGAGAGAGAGAGAGAGAGAGAGAGAGAGAAGAGTAGGAGGAGGAAGTACATATTCATGTTTTGAAACGACTGATACAGTACGGTATATATATCTTCTTTTTTTTTCTTTTTTCCCCTCCCTTTTCCTCCTTTTTCCTCTTCATTCCACCAACCCAATCCATTTACCATTCCCCCCCTATTCCACACAAATCTCATCCACTCCATTCTCTTCCCTGAACGGAACCCCCCCCCCTCCCCCCTAACAAACGGACCCAAAAAAAAGAAAGAAAGAAAAAAAAAAAAGAATGTCCTCAGCCCGGATTGAACGGGCGACCTCCAGATGTTCTTGATTAGAAAAACCAAAGTATGCAGAACGGATTCCGATTGCTTCAGTCTGGCGCTCTCCCAACTGAGCTATAAGGACTTTTTTTATCCTCCAATGGTGAATTGTGGGTTAGTCAGCAGCTAAGAAATATAGATATCTGGGTAATTTGTGTGTGATTGAGAGAGAGAGAGAGGGACGGAGTGAGCGGTAGGAGTGGAATTGGGTGTTGAGGCGTGTGGGGTGGATGGGGGAGTGGGTTGGGGCATAAAAGGGACCCGCAGTGTGGAGCTAGGGTGGAAAAAGTTTTTCTTTGGCGATGGATGGTTTGGGTATGGGCTGCTGGCTGTGGGACATGTGAGGACTATGTACACTGTTATGAGAGAGAAAGAGGACTGCACAAGTATGGTCAATCACTGGATTGGGTCGGATCAACTATACATGACGAATCCCTCGTGATTCCTGTCATCTCCAATCTGTAAAGAAACGAAAGACACTTGGGAATACACAATCATCAACACGTCGTCCATCTCGATACAATTCTGACTTCTTAAATCTTCAATTCATGCATTGTATTTTCTTCTTCTTATTCTTCCGCTTCTTCTGCAGATTAACTCTCACAAGAGCAACGCATTCGTTTTCTTCTTCCATTCCGTTCCACACCCTCCCAAACGCTGACCCATCCAAAACACCTCTCTCGCAATCCCCTCAGCTCGTCGTGGCCCAAACCCCCCACACATCCTCTCTGCGATTGATCCATCACCTTGAAGTCAGTCCTCCACACACCATCATCCAAAAAACACTAATGGTACGTACATACGATATATCCGTACACGCCTTGACATTCATCGCACATAAGCGGTATACAGCATAGAAAAAAAAAAGAAGAAAAGACAAGAGGAGAGAGAAGACCCGCCATTAGAGTTTAGAGCCGAAGCTATGCACCGTACCAAAACCAATGCGTTGTTATGGTATGGTATGGTGTGGTATGGGGTATGGTATAGTAAATCGATATCAACATTTGTCCCCCAACGCCATGCCGAAGAAAATCAATTCAAACGCGCCAGGACAGACGAATAGAGAGATAGTCGATATGTAGAGGTAAGCGATCTAGCGAACCCATATGCAGTAAAGACGTCGAAAGCCGCCGCAGAAGAAAAAAAAAGTCCAAAAACGGGGTGAGAGAAGAAAGTTTGGCGCTCGAAAAAATTATTTAGAAGTCGTTCCTGACCGCTTGGTCGGCCGTCAGTTCACCAGTTTCGATGCGTTCTACGCGGAGAACGAGCTCCTGAATTACAATGTCAGTGGTTGAACTTGTAGAGTTAGGTTGTCCGTCATACCTTCATGGTTCTTGCGGTCTTGAAGGCAAGCTGGGAAATGCGTTCCCGCCCACCATTCGCAATGTCAATCTCGATTAGACTACGTCTGCAATCTTCAAGCACTTCGACTATAGGTACGGCGTGCTTCTTGAGAGCAGGGTTGGTTGCCGTCTGGACAGTGTCATATGTTTTTGTTGCCGTGTCCTGGATGGTGCGAGAGATATCGTCCAAGAAGTGGTCAATCTGTTGCTCCTGTGCCGGGGTAGAAGCGGGACTTGATCGTATGATATCAACAAGAGGCTGAATGCTCTTGACGAGTCTGTCAGTCTGTTCGTCAAGGTAGTTCTGTGGTCGTGTGAGATTATGTTTATTGATTGCTAAAGATGTGTTGATGCGTTCATACCTTGAACTCCGTCATGCCGACATCCTTGTCGAAACCCATACCATTGATTCCGTTCAGGCCGGCACTTTGTCGGTCATAGCCACTGTACGGCGAGCTATATGTACTATACCCCGCGGAAGAGCTACTGCCTCCTCGGCTACGATGTCTTGTATGGCCAGAGCTGACGCCATTAGCGCCACCGTTGACACCGTTGGACCCATACGGGCTGTAGGTCGAATAGGTGGTTGGTTTCAGAGGCATTGGTCGGTCGTCCTCCTCGTCTTGGTCGAGCTCTTCCGCTGGCGTCGGCCTCACTTTGACATACTTGACCAATTCCACAATAGCAGTCGACAAGTGACTTGCCGCAGCGTCCAAAAGGCTGACAGGTGCAAGGCCAGAAGAGGAGACATGGTTCTTGCTCGCGGTGATCAAGTTGTTTGCAGTGGCACTGACACGCGCCTTGAGCTTCATCTGCTGCTTCTCGGGGCTTGCGATGCTGTCGCCGTTGACGCTGCTGTTTGGCGATTGGAGCTGGGAGAGGGGTGTGCTGTCGATGTCGCCAGTTATTGCCCGTACACATTTGACCACATGCTTCATGCTCTCGAGTATCTGCTCGGGATCCGCGCGGCGGGCAACCTGCAGCAATTCGTCGATACTAAGCTGGAACTTGGTAACATGGACGTCTTTGACCATGCCATCTGGTGTGCTGAAACTTGCGTCGCGCGTGTAGTTTGAAATATCCGGGGAAGCCAATGAAGCCAAGCCGATGGACGATGCCTTGAGAGTGCGCAATTGCGTCTTTGCCCGAGCGTAGCGGGCTTTCCACTCTCTGAGCTCGATTTCAAGCGAATTAACCTGGCCGGTAAGGCGTTCCTCCTTTTCAAATGCCATATCGCTGCGGTTCGACAATTCTCGCATCTCCTGCAAATACTGCGCCGCATCTCTTCGAACCTCTTCCGCAATCTGTTGCTGTTCGCCCAACTCCTGCTCCAAGTCTTCCGCACGCTGTCTCCATTCTCCATCTGCAGGATTCAACGCTTGCTGTTGCCTCGAGTTCTGCTCAAGATCTGTGATTTGTGCTCGCAGCTTGCGGTCTGCCTCGGAATTCTCGGCCCGTATGCGATCGATCTCGGAGCGAAGGGAGGTATTCAAGCCTTCTGCCTGTTCGATCTTCTCTTCGAGTGAGAAGCGGAGCTCATCCCATTCGGCACGTTCTGATTTGCTGGCCTGTTTGACGTGTTAACAATTAGGGTTTTTTTTTGGGGGTTTTTTTTATGGAAAACTGAATTATCAACTTACGTTAATCCGCTTCTTCTCCGAATCCTGGAGTCGTTCAATCTCCCCATCCTTGTCTCGTAGAGTCCCTTCTAGTGAGCCGATTCTACCCTTCAGATCCGAGACTTCGGTCCGCAGGTCTTTTATCACCTTTTCTTGCTGCAGATTCTGTTAGCTGACGTCACAATATTGTCTTCAACGTGACTAAAAATGCATACCTCGCTATTGAGACCTCCCTTGAGGCTCTTGTCGGTTTGCCGTTGGCTCTGCCTTGGCGCGGCTCCTTCTAAATTGAAAGCGTCTTCGTCGTCGTCATTTGCGCCACTGTCGTCGTCATCGTCTTCCACCATTGTACCTTTATTGGGGACAATTGTATTTTGCTGGAATGTTTTGGGGAGAGGTCGTCCATAATCGTTCTGATCTCCAGGTCTCAGACCTCCTGGGCCGGGAGGTCCTCCTTGGGGTCCTCCTTGGAGTCCTCCTGGCGGCGGTGGACCGTTACGAAAGCCGGGCGGGCCTGGGGGCGGACGACCGCGCATTCCTCCACTCATACTGTTTGGTGTACCCACCCGACTTGGTGGGTTGTTGTTTCTGCTCGCCATACTCGCCATGCTCATGACACTTCCGGCCGGGCTCGCGGTCCTCTGAATAGCACCCCCATTAAACTGTGGAAACCTCCGCTCGAGTTCGTAGAAGACATCGGTAGCGAGTTGACGGAAACGTTCGAGGGGTAAGGTGGAGAGTTTTTGCCGGGCCTGGTTGCGCTTCGGGTGGAATGTGTTCTTGGGGAGTAAGAAATTGGGGGTGTCGTTGCCGGGAGCACCTGGCCCTCCTCTTTTGCGATCCAGCTCGCGTCGGATCGATTCATCGTAGACGTCGGTACTCAGTTCCTGGAATTGCACTGCAGATAGGCGAGTGAGCTTGTCCTTGGCCCGACTGGCGCGCAGGTTTCCTGCCTCGTCGTGCAGGTAGGGGGCGAGGTAGGCCTTGAGGACACGAAAGTGCTCGCCCAGCGTCTCCTCCAGAAGCATCATCTTCTGCCTGTTCATATTGGGGTCGCCCATGTTGTTGTTGGTATTGTTGGCGAAGAGGCCAGCGCCGTCGCTGGAGCGGGCGATGGAGCTGGGAGGGGAGGGATTGCCGTTGGGTGCAGAGCGGCCCATTCCAGGTGGCATGCCTCCATCGGTGGTGTTTGAGCCGCTGTGGAGAGAGGCGGGCGGGGTTATGCCACGGTTATGAGAGGGAACGGTGGGGGAATATGGGCTGTCGCTCCCTCCTGCGATATTCTGGTAGCGGGTGATGGGAGACCAGTCGTTGCTGTCAGCCGTTGAGACGGGAGACAGGGTGCCATTGCGGCCTGGGGCGTTCATCATGGTGTTTCACGGCGCAGGCAGGCAGAAGTCCGTTCCCGGCTGTGCCAGTGGAAAACGTGGTTGTCCAAGGCACCCAGGGGGCCAACACGGTAGCGGGAGATTTTGAGTGAGTGTTGCAGTTTGTCGCGGCGACAGTCAGAATGCAAAGATGAAACCTGGGGCGGCTCGCGGTAGTGGTCCGGTGTCTGTCGAGTCGGTCTAGTGTACCAAAAAGACGGTGTGGATTGGGGGATTGGGGGATCGCGGGTTCTGCGGGCGACGGCGGGTGTGTGCGTGTCTGTTTGTGCGCGCGCGCCTCTCTCGGTTCCAAATGCAGCTCACACACCAAAAAAAAAAGGCAGTAATAGACAGCAGACAGTAGGTATGTACGGTACAGTACCGGTAATTACTACTGTATGGTGGGCAGAATGCAGTCAAAGGAGCGGGACTGCGGGAGGCGAACAATAGCTAAGCTGGCTGGGTGGCACTAGGGGCCAACGGGTGAGAAACAAAAGACGTGACGTGACGTCTAGGCGGCGAAACAAAGGCAGTGGCAGTTGAGAGAGCGTCGGTGGCGGCAGCGTCTAGTCAAAGAGCCCGCGCGGGTTGGTTGTGTATTGGTGGTGGTGGTGGTGCGGTGGTGCGGTGTTGTTGACGATGTTTGAGGATGGGGAGGGGGGGCTGTATGGTGTGCGGTATATATGGAGTTTGGTGATGGGAGCGATGTTATGGAGAATGCAGAAGTCAGACACGTCTGCAGCGGAACATTAACGA